GCATAGATTGTAAGCAAATAAAAACAAACGCAATAGTTCGCTATGAGAAAAATGGCGCCGGTGAGACGCACGTCGAAGAAGAACGGAATGAGGTAGAAAGAAGAGAGTCTACTCTTTCTTTTGGTGTGTTCGGTGTTTACATAGTCATAGCACAAACTATTCTGTGGCTCTTGAAAAATCAGTCAAAATGCTCAAAAAACTCTGGCAGTGAGCGACTCTCTGTTCTGAAAATGGCCGCCAGTCAATGAGTTAATACATTTTGATCGAGCAACCTCTTGATCGACAATGAATCTAAAGTCGATTAACCGTTTGCGTCCCTAGTGGTACCTCTTGCGGGGCTTGACGCCCAGCTGCAGGACCTCCTGCGTCTGCGTGCAGTAGAGCACGGACCGCTGTTGCGTGGACACCAGCAGCACCTGGTGGCTGTACTCCATCTGAACCACGCCCGAGTTCTCCTCCAGCAGCAGGACGGGTTTACACACCCCCTGTGAGAAAAAAAAAACAACAAACAACTCTAATAAGCCGGCGTACGGGCGGCACGGTGGTTGAGGTGGTGGTTAGCACTGTCGCCTCCCAGCAAGAGGGTTCTGGGTTTCGAATCCCGGGGGAACCAGGGCCTTTCTGGGTGGAGTCTGCATGTTCTCCCTGTGTCTGCGTGGGTTCTCTCCGGGTTCTCCGGCTTCCTCCCACAGTCCAAAAACCTGCATGTTAGGCTGATTTGGAGATTGGGGAAATTGCCCTTAGGAGTGAATGTGAGTGTGAGTGTGAATGGTTGTTGGTCCTTGTGTGTCTCTGTGTGTGGCCCTGCGATGGACTGTCCAGGGTGTACCCCGCCTCTCGCCCGTTGACCACCGGGATAGGCTCCAGTTCCCCCCGCGACCCCATCAGGGAATAAGCGGTACTGATAATGGATGGATGGATGGAAGCCGGCGTGCGTTCTCACTAGGGGACGGTTCACAAAGTCCACGGTTCGGTTCGATTCACGGTTTCGTGGTCACGGTTTTGGGTTCGGTATATGTTGATTGTTAGGAAAATCTATTATGTCTTGTATAGTCAGGTTAAAACTGAAAGAAAAAAGCAGTCTGACATTTGATCCATTATTGTGACAGTCTTAGGTTAAAAGTAGGTGAGATTCTGGCATTGCAAGCGAGGAAACAGAGCTAATTCCAACATGTGCTTCCCTCTAAATGCAAAGTGGTCCATACAGCAGAACTATAAACTGCTGTTGGCGCGTCGGATTTTTATTGGCTACGCTGCTTCTCTTCTTCTTCTTGTTTCCTACTGGAGGTTGGCTTTGGGCGCAGTAGCGCCCCCTTCTGCTCTGGAGTGTAAACGCTTCCCTCTGAGAAAAAGGAGCAGCGCATGAACCGTACCCAACACACGCCAACCGGACCGAGACAGTCCAACCCAACGGTTCGGAGAAAGGTTTTCAGAAAACCGTCCCATCCCCAGTTCTCACCTGGTCCAGATCCAGAGCGGAGAACACCACCCGTCCCTTGTCGTCCCCGGAGAAGAGCTTCATCCCGTTGGCGCTCCAGGTCAGAGCGGTGACGGAGCCTTTGTGCAGGCCGACCACGTCGAAGCGCCTGAGCTGCACCGGACACACACACGGGTCAGCTACAGCCACGGGGGGAGGGGGGGGGTGTTACTCTAACCCAGTGCTTCTCAAATAGTGGGGCGCGCCCCCCTTGGGGGGCGCGGTGCGATACCTGGGGGGGCGCGTGTGAGCCTGGGGAACAGCCTTTTTTTTGGGCCGTACTAGTATAAAGTGTAATTGCGCATCCACTCCAGTAGGGGCAGTGGCGCTCCCATCGTTACTTCGGTGCAACATTTTAGGACTTAAAAGACAACAGGTTAGCCTCGGTTAGCTCCGACTGTTCTGTCTGTAGCCTCCATTATTCAACGTAACAACCCCCAACATGAAAACGTTTTTAACGGGGATGAAAAGAAAAACGGAGAGAGACAAAGATAACGAGACAAAAGAAAGTCACCCGAATGCTAAGTGTTTTATATATTGTGCTCCTGAGTTAATGTTGCTTAACTGAATATAAATTAGTTATTATTTGTGTTGTTTTTGTAGTTTATTGGTTATTATAATTATTAAATGTTATTTATTGATTTTGATTTAATTTTGCAACGGTGCAATTAGTTGGTCAAACATGTTTACAGTTTAAACAAGGATTTTTTTAATTTCATTTCAGGCATTGATGCACTTAAAATCTTTTCTGTTGCAGACTTAAAACACGATTTAATAAAGTTGTAAGTTTGACCATATGTCTTTCTTTTTTTCTTTTCTTTAATGTTAATAAGGATAAAATGTTATGCAGAGATGGATAGTGACGGTGGGGAGTGGGGGGGGCGCGAAAAATTTTTTGTCTTGCTGGGGGGGCGTAACAGAAAATAATTGAGAAGCACCCTCTCACCTGTTTGTTGCGACCCGGAAGCGGGGACACCAGCTGGAAGACGGCCACCCGGCCCGAGGCCGTTCCCACGGCGACCAGATCGTCGAAGCAGCTGAGGAGCTTCACGGCGGTGATGGCGTCGCATTTACCCTACGACACACACACACACACACACACACTCTTTTATCAGCACATATAATGAGATCAGCAACATTTTCAGCCAATTGAGGAAAGCCGGCACTTTTTTTTAAACACGTCTTATTCAAACGTCACAAAATAGTGGGTTTGAAAATGGTCGACATATTTCTTTGTTAACATCTGCCTCACGTCAATGCTTTCATCCTTTTTTTTTTTCTATTGTATTCTCCTCTGTAAAATTCCAACAACCAGCCGTTTTACCTCTGCACTATATTCACTTCACAATGAGCACTTGAATGTTTTTAAACTTTTAACATCAGCTTTTTAACTTAATTGAAATGTCCCGAATTAAATGCAAATGACTTCCAACCCTTTTCATTTCATTCTGAAAACAACGCTATGAATTTAAACATGCATAAAGCTGGAATTTCAGGTACATAAGATCAGTAGTTTGATTCCCAGTCTGGGCATGCTACTAATAACCTTTGGATAAATATGAGTGAGATACATAAAACTGAAGCTATGCTTTGAATGCTACCATGAGGACTGGAAGAGGGCGGGAGAAAGCAGAAGATATCAGACAATATAAGAATATAAGAATATATAACAATATAAATTAGTAACTTTTCATCCAGTGTTCAAGGATTTAGAAACAGAAATTGCTATCACAAGACGTAAGTGAGTTTCTGAATTCAGACAAACTGAAGTAGTTTATTTGGACCTGAACACCTCAGAGGGAATCTGCCTACTTACACAGTAACTTTAGATAACGTGTATTTTTCGAACAAGCTTGGAGTTATTTCTTATCAGAATCTGTCCTCAGACACGTTTCTAGGACCGCCTTATTTCCCCTCTGTCTCCAAATGATGGAGAAAAACTGCTCCGTGGATTTGTCGGCTGTAATTCTTCACCATTGTTCTATCCAAAAGAAAAGTCCAGCCAATCCCAAATGCTGCAGACAGAGTTCTGGAGTTGAGGAGAAAGCGAGCATTCTTTGACAACTGAAAAAGCCAAACTGCAAAAAGCAACTCTGAGGAAAACCACATAAACCGAAAGCACCCACATTGGGGATAAGAACCCATCTGTCAGAACAAGCTCCCATGATGCACCTCTCCTTTCTTACCTGTCCTCACAACCTCTAGATGGCTCAAAACAGGTATTGGATCAGAGAAACGTTTCAGAACCACATGTTGGGTGTCTTAGATAAGAAGCTTTTTTTTTATCAATGAATAAGTTGGATTTATTTGGGATGACTGCAATATGGCTGCAACCTCACTTGGACTGAATTTGTTCTAAAAAATGGACGCCTCGGGGTGATTTGTTGATGAATAAAACTGAGCTTAAAAGTCGGATAAGTGCGGTAATTCATTTATCGGTTTATTTTCTAGTGGTTCCGATTTCATTCACGCTCGACCTGATGAGGGCAACTTTAAGAAACGTGGGATTTAAACCGTAAAGAAAGATCCCAGACCTCCAGGCTGTACTTGTTCATGTGGGCGAGCCGCCGACAGTACAGGTAGAGCATCCCGATGCTGCTGCCCACCGCCAGGAAGTCCCTGCTGGTGTCCAGAGCGGTCAGGTAGACCAGGACGGACCTGAAGCCCCGCTGCACCTGCACACACACACACACACACACACAGACACACACACTTTTGTCAGCATTAACAGGAGCATGAGCATCTCTTGTGTAACGCAGGGAACATTAAGTGAGACGTAGGCCTGGGTACAGCCGGTCAGAACCTCGGCCAGAAGTAGGTTTTTGTGGTTTGGGAGTGTGTCGGTACCTTGGCGGGGATGGAATTCAGCAGATAGTAGAGGGGGCAGAACTCCCTCAGGACGGACACCGAGGCTGGCTGTGAAGCCATGGTGTTGCTGAAGTAGTTTCAGTCTGGACAGTCCAAAGGTCCTCCTATTTAGAGACAAAATAAATAAAGAAACAAACATTAAAATGGTCAACGAAACACTTGCCTGTTTTTAAACACGCCAAACCCTCCCAAACACAGCACAAAGTGACAGTTTGCTCCAACGCACGCGCCCCTGTTTGGTCCAGCAAGCCGTATCCGGGACAAAAGCCCCCCGCGAGCCCAACGGCGCGAGCCCAAAACATGCACGCGCTGTGCTCCGTTCTACACCGAAAGCCGCGTTCAAATGCTCGGTTTTAGAACCGGGAGGGCGGTGGGGGGTGGTTGAGGGGGCTGGCTCTGGGTTTGTTCCGCGGGCAGCGGCGGGAATTGACGGCTGACAGCCGAACGGAAAAACCAAAACACAGCCGACAAAAAAAACCAAAACACAGCCGAGTTTCGACGACGCGGCACGAAGGCGGTGTCGTCCTCCTCCAGGCCGGCTAGCGAGAGCCGGGCCGGCTAACGCCCGCGGGGCACCGCCGACCGGCGGGACTGAGCAGGGACCGCGGTACCTCTCGAGAGCCGACGCCCGAAGAAGGACGTCCTCAAACGGCCGTCCGGGCGGTTCCGTCGCGGGTGGATGGCGGAGCGCGGACAGGTGGCATCGCCCTGCTTCAGTCCCGAAGGCTCGTCTCATCTGAAACGTCATCAAACGGCGCCCCCTGCCGGCCGCGCGCAGCAACGGCCGCGGCTCCTGCTCCGTTAGCCCTCTCCTCCGCCTCCCGGTGCTCCCCGCAGAGCCCAGAGGCAGCCGCGGGGTCTGGACAAGCGACGTTACGGTCGGTACAGTTGTACGGAGGTTCGTTTCCTGCCACAGGGGCGGCGACTTTGGCAAATGGATGAACGGAGGAGGAAAGTCGGCGGCTGCCGGTTGGAAAAGAGGGAAACTGGATCTTGCCGTCAAGCATAACGTAAATTCACGCCGTTCATTCAGTCAGTCAATCAGCTAGAGGAGCTTGTGTTTTCCAACAGACATTGATGGCAGCATGCCAAGAATATTGAACGCATCACCACCCAATCACTTAAATAATACACATGGTGACGTTCCACTATTTAGTCATTTCAGTGTAGCGACCGGGTCAATTGTTTCTAACGTAGACGTCTTGTGTCTGTTTCAAATTCAGTTGTGTCTTTGCTTCTGTCCAACGTGTCCCCCTTTGGCTCCGGTCCGGCGGAGGTCCAGCCCGGGAAACCCGAGCTCCCGCTCCCGCTGAGGGGGCTATGCTAAGCTAAGCTAAGCTAAGCTAGTTCAAAACTCCTCCCGCTCTCTCCGGGCCCGCAGCGGCACCGGCGTTCCCGCTAACGCCGCCATTCCCTCCCGCGGGGCCGTTTTTTTTCCTCCGCCAGCACACACGGGGCCATTTAACGAGAGAACTACCTTCCCTGTGACCTCGTCAGTCGTAGCCGACGTCGGCTACATCCACCCCCCCCCCCCCCTCCCTCCCTTCCCCAGTCAGCGCTTGTAACCTCGCAGCCAAAATGGCGGACAACGAGGATGACAGCGGCGCGGTGAGAACAACAACAGCCGCGGCACAGCCCCCGGTGATTCCGGCCGGGGAGGGCTGCTTCCCCTCCCAGCCCTCCGCCCAGGGCCCGCAGGCCGGACAGACGCTGCCCGCCGCCGCCGCGGCGGGAGAGCCCCGGGACGGCTCGGAGCCCGCGTCCGGCGCGGAGGGCGGCCAGCCCCCGGAGGGCGCCCCGCCGGGGCCCGGGACGCAGCTCGTGGAGGTCCTGCCCGGGGAGCAGAGCGTGGTGGTGGGCGCGGAGTTCGCGGACCTGGCCAACACCACCATCATCTACGTGCAGCCGGACGGCAGCCTGGTGGAGGGCTCCGGCCTGACCGCCGAGGAGCAACAGGCGGTCCTCCAGCAGCTCACCGGGCACCAGATCGTGCAGGTGTCCGACACCGAGGCCGCGCAGCTGCTCCGGCAGAGCCAGGCGGTCAAGCCCGCGCCGGTCCACAACGCGGCCCTGGACCCCAGCCAGCTGCAGCAGGTCATCAACCAGGTGGCCAAGTCCCACGGCCAGGTCCACGGCCACCAGGCCCCGAAGCCGCAGGTGCAGGTCCACCAGGGTCCGAGGCAGAAGACCCCGGCCCAGAACAACGCCTCCCTGCAGCTGAAGAGCGCGGCCCAGCAGGTGGCCCTGCAGACCAGCGTCCAGGTGAGTGAGACCGGGGGAGGGCCTGTCGCTGACCGGTGTGTCTGGAGATGGTTCCCGGTCTGAGGGGGCCGGGTTACCAGAGTGACAGATCTCTAAAAACCTGCCTTCTTCAGACCCGGGTCCTCCCATCATTTTGAGCTCTGAGTTCAGGCATCATGGCGCCCGTCCACTTTCCACTCGGACAAGCATATCCTGACTGATAGCAGTCAGTGGACGATGAGATCCAGCCCTCCCAGAGTCAGACGTCCGAACCATTTGACCATCCTACCGACTCAGATAATAGTTAATCATTGCTCTTCCTGATTAAGACCCCCGCTTAGAAAGAACCTGAGTGTGTGAGCTGCATCAGACGGTGTGTGTCTGTCCGTGTTCATGTCCATGTCTACGTCCACCGCCAAAAAGGCTTTTAGAGGCCTTTAGCTCTAAAAGTCAGACGTTTCCAGTCGGTTAAATAGACTTCTCTTCTTTCTTTTTTTTTTTCCTTTTCCTAGGCAGGTTACTGTGGTGATGGTCAGCTGTGATCAGGCTCACTGACCGTATCCTTTTATTGGGTTAGTTCAGAAAGATAAACAGAGGGGAAGTTGATTTGTTGAAACTGTATCTCAGAACCCCCCAAAAAATCTAACAGGTCAAAGGTCAGGTGATCTAGGGAAAAGCTGATGGCTGACATAACTCCTCACACATCATTTCATTAGCTTTTTGTGTTGTGGACCACATTGAAATTGAATTAACTCAATTATATCTGTCTAACAATGAATTGGACTCCAATTGGCTTGAATCTGGCTCTTATGTGTGAAGGGCGGCGAGATTTTTTTGTAAATAAAGCTGAACTGAAGCAGTTTGAATTGAACAAAAGGGTATGATTACATTTTTTTTTTTTTAAATGGTAACTTCAAATTCTATACCAACAGCCAAAGGTGGCAGAATGTCTTCTAATATTTCTAAGATTGTGGGTTTGTCTATTGTTCTTTTCTTTTTTTCTTTTGTTGTTTCTTGTGTTTAATGTGGACAATTTACCAAAATAAAGTGATTGATTCATTGATTGATGATTCCATGTATTCTTAATAATTTTAATAATCAAAAGGTCATTTTTGATGAGTGTGAGTTTATGAGCAGCAAAGTACCTGATATGCACTCACAGCTTGAAAAGTTTCTATTTAGGACGATACAATGACCACAGGTCTTTTGGGGAGCTCTACTGTGACCAACCTGAATAGGGAGATAAGTTTCCATTCCTAATTTCCCCATGTTCTGTTTACTTTCAGTCAGAACCCGTCAGGATCCAGATCCAGGTCCCTCCCAAACCGGAGGGGAAGCCTGGTGTGGACCCTCAGCAGAAGACCGTGGCCATGGGTCATCCGCAGGTCAAGCTGTCGGCCAACGGCAGCGTGGCCAACGCTCAGATCATCCACATCCAGCCGGTGGTCAGTCAGCAGGGTCAGCAGTTCTTCCTGCAGCAGAACCCCGGGGACCCGCCCATCCAGCTGCTGCTGCAGAGCCCCGCCCCCGTGGTCGGCTCTCTGCTCCCGTTGGTCCACAAGCTGACCAGCCAGGCCGCGTTCGCGGGCGCCTCCTCCGGTCCGGCCCAGAAACCCGCAGCGGCCCCGGTCAAAGTGCTGACCGCCCCCGCGGCCAAGAGCCAGCCCTCGCCCATCGTCAAGGCCCCGCCCCCTACCTCAGCCAAGCCCAGTAGCCCCCCCCCCCCAAACCCGCGTGCAACGGCACAGCGGCCCCCGCCGCCAAAGGTCCAGATAAAGCGTCTGCGGCCGCCACGCCGAGTCCGGCCCGGTCAGCCACAGCCGCCGCCGGCCGGCCGGCCGCCGCCAGGGAGAAAGAGAAGGAGAGGAAGGGGAAGAAGAGGGAGAGGAAGGCCCCCAAGGTCCAAACCAGGTCCGGCCGCGTGTCCAGACCCCCCAAGTACAAAGCCAAGGACTACAAGTTCATCAAGACCGAGGACCTGGCCGACGGCCACCAGTCCGACTCGGACGACTACTCGGACATGAGCGTGGAGGAGGAGGAGGGGCCCCCCCCGCCCCCCAGCCACCCGTCCTCGCTGGCCTACAGCCACAAGTCCCGCTCCCACCGCTGCCAGACCTGCGACAAGGCCTACATCGGGGCCGGGGGCCTGAACCGCCACTACAAGCTCAACCCCGCCCACGGCCAGCCCGAGCCCCCCGGCCCCGCCCCC